GAATTACCTACCAAAACCAAACTACATACAAGAAAACCTACACTCTACACAGATAATCTCTGCCCTCGATGCAATCTCTAAAATTATTATCATGTTCTCTCAGTCTTACTATCCAATCATAAAAGTTTTTCTTCATATCTTGAAATAAAGAACGCGGATTTTCGTGCAAATAGTCAAGTACATATTTTACTAATCGAGCTTTCCATAAAAATGACTTCCAGACCTTACTATAAAATGAATGAGGGTTGAGTAGATTGTACCATACCTCTCCATTAACACATGATTGAAACATGACCTCTACATCTGAAAAATCGATTCCAAAACCACTTAAGGAAAAGTTTGCATAGAATGCTTTTTTGCACATTAATTTGCTTTCACCTTCAATAATGAAGCCATCCCAGAAAATTTGTTGTGGCTTTCCTTGATTCCAAATGTCAACGGCTTCCTTAGTATTATCGTATATTGTGAAATTATCAAGGTCAAACCTGAAATAATTCCCATCACTCATATCATCTGCGACCAAAGACGACTCATCACTGTTCATAAATTCGTCAAGGCATTCTTCTTCTGTATAAAAATGTATTAATGATGTGTCAAAATTGGTTGAGGTGTATTCATCGCGAATTTTTACTCGTGGTGGTATATTCACGCACAGATCACTCGCTGTCGAAGTCTCCAAGACACTTTTGACGGCAAACGTTATTCTTGACAGCTTAGGATCATACCGATCCATTTTTGTGCTATCTTTTTTCTCGTCATTATCACGAAAACTTCCAAGGAAATTCTTGTGAGATCTATATGACCAGCGATGTGTCACTCGTGGGCCGCCTGCATCATCTTGGCTCATAGAATCATTGCTGGAGCAAGCTTCTATATCGATTTCTTCTTCGTCTGATCCAATGATTTCATTGTCAAAAATCATATTGGTCATATCTCCAGAAATTATTCAACAAAGAAAATTTCTTTCAATTTATATGAATTAATCGTTGATTCGCATCAATATACTTATCAGAAAGTTTCTGTCCTTTGAAGGTAACGTTGACATAAGGAATTATGTGTTCATGTTAAAAACCGGACCGGAATAAACTCATTTTGTCTTAGGGCTGGAATACGTTACTATGCTTAACTATTTCCATGAGGTCAACAGCAATTTAATTTTTTTGAGCATATTTTCATTCTCAAAAAAAAAAAAAAGAAAAAGAAAAAGAAAAGCAACAAATAATAGAGGTGATGTCATTATAATATTGTCACCGGTCAAGACAGTGAGTCTTTCACTTCTCAAATTTTTGCCGTTGAAAACACCATTGCACCTTGTGTCTTCTCAATTTGGTTGGTTGATAAGAGGTATGTAGGTTTCACTTAAATCAATAAAAAAGGATTCTTATTAATTCAAAGTTTGGATTATTGAACAATCTAATATCCTATAAAATCTATTATACATGCAGTAACTGCATATAATAGCAGTCGATTCGTTTTTTTCAAACCCGCAATCATACCATCACACGGTTTGTTACCTTTATCAATCAGAAGACTACTATTATAGGTATTAATTAAGCCTTATCAAATGACAACTAGCTTGTCATTATACATATTAGTTGGAGGATTACGCTACTTAAAAATATGAGAAATCCATCAAACTAGTTTGAACTGATCAAAACAAAGTCTTAATTAAATATTTAAGTTAAATTTAAGGAACAAATTTTACTTCTCAAATTTTGTACAGAAATATTGAAACAAGAAATTATTATTTACAACTTGTTACTATAAATTATTTCGAAATCAATGAATTCTTCAATTAAATTATAAATAAAAATAAAGAAAGAAAAATTGTATAAGTGTGTAAAAAGAAAAAAAAAAGAACAATTCAAAGTTTTGTTAAGATTTTTTGCTATAATTTTTTAATCTTTACTCAAAAAAAATATTTTATTGAATGTATTTTTTTTTGTTTTTAATTATTTGAAAAAATTCATCTAATCAAATCTTGAAATAGAAAATTTTTTTTATAATTATTTAAAAAATTTGTTTTTATATCAATATATAAGTTTATTTATTATATATTATATTATCAAATGTTAAAAAATATATAAATATAAGATTATCAAGAGATATTTAGTTTAAGAATTTAATAAAATTCTAATTTAATTTATAAAGGTATATTTTTTGAATTGTTATAAAAGAAAGAAAATATTAAAATAAGTAAAAAATTAATATATATCATTTAATAATTTAATATTTAATTATCAAAAATAATGCATAAAAATAAGTAATTTGATTTAATAAAATTATAGAAATATAAATTTAATTTTTTTTTTTTAATGCTGGCTTAGCCTTGTTTTATTTGTATTTATACAGTATTATTATATAGAAATTTTCTAAGATATTCTATCATTCTTCCATCAAATAAAACTCAATAGAAATAGTCTCTCTTAAGAGGTATTCATCTTATAGAAGCTAATTTGTCAAAGTTGAACTAGTGTTAAAATAAATTTCAAGAATATAAAAGTTGTTTATAGCATTTATTATTTATAATCTATAAACTCAATGTTATAATTTTTATTAATAATATATAATATTTATGCAATTCATAAGGAATCAGTCTTAGCTCAGATATTTACATTACTCTTTATATACAAATAACAGTGTATATACTAACAAATACTTATACATTTGCTTATATTAGTAATATATATATATAAATAACTACAGTATCTATATATTTACTAACTATATACAAACACTATTTCATCAAAAAAAACTATACAATTTTTTCTTAATTATTCCCAAACTATTTTTATTAAGAGTAGACTAATTATCAAGGCCATCAAACTTTCTTTATTTTGAACTTATATTTTGATTTTTTAAAGTGATTAATAAATTTTTTCTTTCACTGAAGCCTTCCAATTATTAAGTCTATAGATTAAATATAATTATATACTTTAAGTTTTGAAATTTAATCTGGAAATTATTTTTTTAGTAATTTTTAGAGATCTTCAGTTAGTTCTTTCTAAGTGATATATAACCAGTTTAAAAATCTATTTTTCTTATTAATAATGTGATTCTATCAAGGATAATATTACTTGATTTCAGATAGTAACCTAATTACAATCTTTATATAAACCATCCTATATTTTTATAGATTTTATTAATTTTATAATAGAAAATAATAGAAACTATTAAAAATTTAATCTATAACAAACTATACTTGAAAATATCAGTTAGATATAGTTAAGCAAATGGATATAGATTATTATCAGTATCAGAAATTTTTGCTTCTTGGAAGATTTGATCTAGAATCTTATGATCAAATCTATGAAGTATTAACTATTATACTATTGACTCATAATCAAAATATAAATTTAATATATATTTAATAAAAAATAAAATTATTAAATATATTATAAATCACTTATCATAAACAAAAATATATAATATTTTAAATATTTAATATAAAAAATCAAGAATTATAATAAAAAATTTTTATTTTTATCAAATTTTTTTATTAATTATACTGACTGGATTTTATTGATTTAGAATTTTTAGAAGAGTACAAATTAATTTACAAAAGTTTATACTTATAACTAATTTTAATAATATTATCTTACCTAACACCAATATACCCAATTTTATATATTAATCTTATATAAATACTATCTTTGTCAACCGTTCTGCTATACCTGGACACCTAATGTTATGAGAAGTCACTAGGAACTACTTTATTATTATATTTTAAGAGGCTTAATATGTGTTCCTTAGTAAAATCTTATTTTATTGATCCTTTTTATAATATGGAATATATTTAATCTTATATAATATACTTGTTATGTTCAGTCTATTTTAAAGACTAAGTTATTTAATAATTTTAATCACTATATAATTTAAAGTAAATCTCCCAATGCATCATTGATGAGTCTATTGAGTCTTCCAAATAATTATTCTTAACTATTCTTTAAAGATAGCTTATGAAAATTTTTTCTTGATCAAATAAGAACTTGGATTTTTTTCAAACATATTCACCCTTGCAGTTTCTATTGTAACTATTGTACTTTATTTCACCCTAAGCAATCAAGATCTGTTTCTTTGATATTTTTTAGTAGTTGGTGCAGATGACTGAAGTCTTTCAATATCTCTTATAAGTATAGTAATTTGAGAAGAGGTATATTTTCTATCAGACTAATAAAATTTTAAGATAATTAGTATCACTCCTGATATTCTTTTGATAATTTTATATATTTTAAATAATGAGAACATGATGACCTTTCTCTATCCTAATACTAAAACTTATTTGAACTTGTATGATCTGATTTATTATACTATAGTCAAACAGTAAAATCTAATGGTTTAATATATACTATTATATATATGATTAATAAATATGTATAGTATATTATACAATATAATCTATATTGCAAAAACTATTCATTGTGTGATTTAATTGGTAATTTGTGAATAGTAACTTGGAATTTTACCCACTGTACTATTGATTCACAAGTCCAATAAAATTTTTTTATTAATTTATCAAAAATTTTTTTGACAATTTTTGAAAAAAAAATAAATAAAACAATTCAACTTAATAACTTAATAATATATAAAAAAAAATAATTGTTATATTGTTTTTTATAAAAAATATATATAAGGTTTAATAAATAAATTATCAAATTTTTTATGATGTCAACTTATCCTTGTATCTATATATCATATATTTTATTAAAATAAATAAAAAATCTAGAACAATCAAGATAAAAAATTAATTTATATTATTTAAGAATTTATAGATCAACAAGTAGTATCTAGAGTTAACTATTTATATTTCACTCAACCAGGATAAGATTATTATTATTATTTTTTTTTTTTTGCCGACTCAGCCTTGTTTATTAGCTTTGATAAAGTAATTTGCAATATATATTGTAGGGATTACAAAAGAAGACAGAAAGTATTCTATATATCATTTATGCTACTAAACTTCCTAAGACTACAATCTACCGGATGGCTTGTTGTCACTCCAAACCAAGGGAGAAACTAACCTGTCAAGGCAAAGCTAGTGCTAATTTCTATATTAAACAAAAAGAAGATATGGGTGTTATATTTTATAAAATTGTTCAGATATTTGTTGGTTGTAGTAATGTAACTGTCTTTGATAGCTTGTTCATTGATCCATCTGCTATTTTGTTAAACTTTCTTTGCATATTTTGTGTAGTTTTTCAGTTTTTTTGTTGATTTCTATTGTTTGTTTCTATTGATGAAAGATATGGCACCGGTTCAACCATTTGTGGTAGAGCAGTTCTTTCTATTTATATGTTATTTCTTGGATACATTTTTGTGCACTGGAGGAATCTGTTGTAATCTTGCACATGGCTGATATTAGGGACTTGAATAGTACTTCTTTGATGAAGAGTTTGAGTTCAGATGATATTTTTAAGAACATTTGTTGTTTGATTATTTGTGTATAATTGCTTTTCATTGTTGGATGAATGTATTCTTTACATGTGTTGATTACAATTTTGTTTGCGTGTGTGATAAGATCTTGTGGTGTAGTACCATAGAGAAAAGAGTAATAATTTCTTCTATTAGATTGCATCGAGGGCAGAGATTATCTGTGTAGAGTGTAGGTTTTCTTGTATGTAGTTTGGTTTTGGTAGGTAATTC